TGGGATTGGATCAGCCCTGCAGGGACACTCAGTGGCCATGGACAGCAGAGATCTCCTGGAGGGAGGGTTGGCTGTGGGAGAGATAAAGAAAAAACTGCCCATGGACAGCAGAGAACTGCCCCAGCTCTGACAGATGGGGATAGAACACTTGCCCCCAGCTACACCTTTCAACTTGAGACACTCCAGTAGGGTTTGAATTTCAAATCTGGTGCAATAACCAGAGAGAGGGAAATACATTGGGCTAAATAAGGAAAAGCATTTGACTTCATGCCAAGCTGGAGTGTGCACTCCATCTCTCCAGTACCTGATCAGGAGGGACAAGTGGTGACTGCACATGGCCTGGCTGTCACCACTCAGTGTCCCCAACCAGCTGGGAATGTCCCTGTTTGTCAGCCACCACCACCCTCTGTGTGGGTGCTCACTGACTGCCCCAGCCCAGCCCAGCAGTGCCCTGGTGGCTCCAGGACATCCCTGTTCCCTCCTGTCCCCTCAGTCCACGGCGTGCACCGAGCAGATCTGCATGGGCTCCGTGATGACCCCCAGCCCCCACATCCGCAAGGCAGAGGACACCAGGAGCAAGGAGGAGGTGCTGCTCCTGGCCAAGGACTTCATTGACCAGTACTACTCCTCCATAAAGAGGTGGGTGCTGCTGCTGCTGCCTGGCTAGCTCCGTGGTAGAACATGGGACTCAATCCCAGGGTTGTGGGTTCATGCCCCGCATTGGGCGCCATTTGTTGCTGTTCATTTGTTTGTTGTGATGTGTTTGGGGATCCCCGGGGGACCCCCTAAGCTGTACATTCACTGGTAGCAGCAGGAAAGCAAGGAGACACCACATGGATTCTGAGGGTGCTCATTGGATGAGGGTTTATGGGGGTCCCACCCCTGGGAGCAGCATGGTTTCTGAGGGAGAAGGGGGAAAGGGGAAGGGAGGGGAAGGGAGGAGGAGAGAAAGAGAACCTAGGGAGAGAAGGGCCAAGATAGAGTCTGGTCTCCCCCCACAGCTTAACAGGGAGATTCAAAGTGGGTGTGGAATAAGCCTTGTTCAATGGGATTACAGATCCATGATACTTCAGGGGAGGATCACAGGCTTGGAATAAACCGTACATTTTCGTACATTTTCGAGGGGTGGGACAGAGCATAGCATTTAAATAAAATGTAACACCACATGCTGCCTCAGCCCAAGGCTGCTGCTGGTGCCAAGATGTCACACATGTCACCCAGAGGTGCCTCCACCCGGGGGCCAGCACAGGAAGGAGCTGGAGCTGCTGTAGCCAATCCAGAGGAGGCACCAGGATGATCAGAGAGATGGAGCAGCTCTGTTGGGAGGAAAGGCTGAGAGAGTTGGGGTTGTTCAGTCTGGAAAAGAGAAGCTTTGGGGTGACCTCAGTGTGGCCTTCCAGTGCCTGAAGGAGGCAAAAAAAGACATGGGGAGAGACTTGAGGCAAGGGATGGAGGGACAGCACACAGGGAATGGCTCCCACTGCCAGAGGGCAGGGATGGGTGGGATATTGGGAATGAGGAATTGTTCCCTGGCAGGGTGGGCAGGCCCTGGCACAGGGTGCCCAGAGCAGCTGTGGCTGCCCCTGGATCCCTGGCAGTGCCCAAGGCCAGGCTGGGCATTGGGGCTTGGAGCAACCTGGGACACTGCAAGGTGTCCCTGCCATGGCAGGGGGTGGAATGGGATGAGTTTTAAGGTCCCTTCCAGCCCAGGCCATTCCATGATTCCATGATGTAGTCTCCCACCCATGCTTGTCACAGCAGGGGGAGGCTCTGGTGCTCCTTCAGCAGCTCCTTCTTGGGTAGAGTTTCATTCCTGGTGTATGTTGTGTCTCTGCACAAGCCACTGCTCTGTCCCCCTGGTCCTTGCCCTCCTGCCATCCCAAATCTGGGATAGCCATCCCCACAATCCCTGTGGCTGTGTAGGAACAAGGTATTCCAAGTGGAGAGCAGCATCATTCCCTGCCCTCCGCCTGACCCTCCACCTCCTCTGCTCCCAACCTTCCCAGATCCGGCTCCAAGGCCCACATGGAGAGGCTGGAGGAGGTGACCAAGGAGATTGAGACCACTGACACGTACCAGCTGCGGGACACGGAGCTGATCTACGGCGCCAAGCACGCCTGGAGGAACGCGGCGCGCTGCGTGGGCAGGATCCAGTGGTCCAAGCTGCAGGTGAGCACCAATCCCACCACAAACACCCAGGGGATTCCTGCCAAAGGGTGTGCTGGGGTTCTGGAGAGACAAATTCCTGCTCTCCAGCACCTGGGAAGCACAGCACAGGTCCAAGGGCAGCTGTTCAGCACACACAGCTCCTCTCATCAGCTATGGGGTACTGACTGGCAGGAGCTGGAAAAGTGTCTGTGGGATGGGAGGTGAGGTGGCTGTGTCTGAAATGGAAGCTGGTGCTCCAGGGGATGTTTTCCAATATCAGATCCTGCTCCAACATCTTTCCTGCTGCTTCCAAACCTGTTGCTCCACCTGGAGAGAGGCAGCAGGACACATTTGTCCTCAGTCCTGAGATCCAGCAGGGGAGGGTTTGGCTCAGTGCCCTTTTGGCAAGGGAATCACAGAACAGGATTGGAAATCAGTGATCCCCGGGGAATCCCTTGGTACAGAGCTGTCCTCTCCTCCTGTAACCTGGAACAAATCCAGTGCTGCTGAGCAGCTCCTGTGGCTGCTTCACACAGGGAATGGGCACAGCCACTTCTGTTAATCCCCCTTCCTGATTTCCCCATGCTTTCATGGATGCCCCTGGATCCCTGGCAGTGTCCAAGGCCAGGATGGATGGGGCTTGGAGCATCCTGGGATAGTGGAAGGTGTCCCTGCCATGGGCAGGGGGTGGAATGAGATTCTCTTTAAAAGTCCCAACCCAAACCATTCCATGATCCCGTGATTCCCTGTCCCTCAGCCCTGGCTGGCACCTGTCCTGCTCCAGCTTTGAATGCTGATCTACAAGAGAAGCAGAGCAGACTCTGTAATTGTTGGGGGATGAGGCAGGAACAGCAGCAGGTTGGGAGCATGGGAATGAGGAGGTTTTTTGCCTGAGCAGCAGATGAGTCACCTCTCCAAAGCAAAAGGGGCAGCTGGATTAGACATCCACGTGTTCCAAAGGCAGAGAACACATAATTACGGAGCTTTAGATCCCTGAGAAGCCACAGTGGTGCCTGGAGTTCTCCATGTGCTGTGTTTCCTCTGCCTGGCTCTGCCCTAGGAGCTGGAACATCCCCACAACTGCTTCCCTGTTCCAGGTGTTCGATGCCCGGGACTGCACCACGGCCCATGGGATGTTCAATTACATCTGCAACCACATCAAGTACGCCACCAACAAGGGGAACCTCAGGTGAGCCACCAGGGAGTCACCAGGCTTTGGATCCGAGGGCCTCTGGATGAGTGGAGACCCAGCTGGAGCTGGGTCTGGGCACTGCACAGCCAGCAGCAGTTCTGGAAAGGGTTAGAAGGATCTGATCTGGGGTGAGGGAGTCCTGCTGGTCCAAGTCTCTCTCTTCTTGCTGCCTGTGGAACCTCAGAGGGAAGTTTTTCCTGTTATTTCCCCTTTCCTATCCAGCACAGAGCTCAGAGTGCTCTCCAGATCTGAAACCCCCTATGAGCAGCCAGGAGCTGGGAACTGTGACGGTGTTCACAGGGGTTTTCATGGGAGGGAAGAGACGAGAATGTTGACTCCATGTTCAGAAGGCTTATTATTTTATTATATACATTACATTAAAACTATACTAAAAAGCATAGAAGGAGAAGCTTCATCTCAGAAGGCTAGCTAAGCTAAGAATAGAAAGAAAAAGAATGATAACAAAGGCAGCTGCCTCAGACTCTCTGTCTGAGTCAGCTCTGCTGTGATTGGCCATTAATTACAAACAAGCACATGAGACCAATCACAGATGGACCTGTTGCATTCCACAGCAGCAGATAACCATTGTTTACATTTTGTTCCTGAAGCCTCTCAGCTTCTCAGGAAGAAAAAAATCCCAAGAGAAGGATTTTCACAAAAAGACGTCTGCGACAGGGAAAACACCCCAAATTCCCGCTCCACCAGAGCCACCAACACTCAGGGACTCACTCAGGGCGCACCCAGAGGTGGTGGCAGCGCTTTTCCTCCAGCATTTCACCCCTCCCTCAGCTCATGGCATTCACCAGCGCTGCCTTTCCCCCCCAGGTCTGCCATCACCATCTTCCCGCAGCGCACGGACAGCAAGCACGACTTCCGCATCTGGAACGCGCAGCTGATCCGCTACGCCGGCTACAAGCAGCCCGACGGCTCCGTGCTGGGTGACCCTGCCAACGTGGAGCTCACCGAGGTACCAGCCTTGGCAAACCCTGTGGAGCTTGGGAAAGCTCCATGGAGGATTGGGGCTTAACCATAGGAGCTGCTGAGTCATGATGAGACAGCAGAATAAGCTCCTGTCTCTGACCCCCCGCCCCAAAGCTTATCTCTGTAACCTTATAGGCCACTATGCCTAACCCTTACTATTGGACAAGTTTGGATCCCCCTATACCCTATAAAAAGGGGCTGTTTTAGCCCATTTGACAGAAGAAGAGCTGTCACTGGACCCTTCACAGACTCCCCAAGATACCATCTCTGTAAAACCGCCAGGACCTCTCTCCTTCTCCTCTCTCGCATCTGCTGCAGCCCCAGCCAAAGGCGCCCTACCTAGCAAGCCAAGAGCTGAAATCCTAAGAGAGCTGAGAATCACTAAAGAGCTGACAATCACCAAGCTTGCTAAGGCTAGCCTGCAGCAATGGCCACGAGCTAACTGGGCTTTCGGGCACGCTGTCTCTCTGAGGGACTGGGCTCCCAGACCATCCTTGCACTGCTCGATAACAAGGCCAAGATCAAGGTTTTATTATACCAGCCTGTCTGACTCTGCCCTTCCTGAGCCTTCTCCACTTGTCCTGCTTTAGGGCAAATTTGGGAGAAAACCTCCAAAGGGGGCCCCTCCAGAAAGCAAACCCACACAGCCCCTCTTCCCTTACCATTTTGGGAAGGATTGCTCAGGGAGAAGAGGAAAGAACCTGTTTATTGAACAGGCACAGCACCCCCAGCACACAGAACCTGTTTATTGAACAGGCACAGCACCCCCAGCACACAGAACCTGTTTATTTAACAGGCACAGCAGCCCCAGCACACAGAAGGAACAATACCAGGTGACACCACTCTGTCACTGCTCTGAAAAAGATGACAAATTCAGAAAGTCTCTCTTGGGAGTAGTTGCTCTGTTATCAGTCCCTCCTGTACTGGGGCAGCTGCTGCAGCCACAAGGTGCAAACTCTCGCTGTTCCCAGGGCCCATCCGGAGCAGGTTCGAGTGGTTCCAAAAAAGGGAAAGGAGAAACAGTCCAGGGAAAAATTCGGACTGCTTAGCTAAACTAACTAATGAGCAGGAGCAAGAGCAAAGCAAAAAGCAAAAGCAGCACCATGCACTGCCCTGTCTGTGTGTCCCGCCAGCCATGGGGGAGCGGCTGAGAGCAAAACCAAAACAAAACATTCACTATTCAGAGCCAGTCTTGAAGGCACAGAACATGATATCCAGCATGAACAGAGCACACAAATGGGGATACAAGCATCACAGCATCACCCTAGGACAGGGCTTCACCCAAAACCCTCTCCCAGGTCTTCCCTCCAGTAAAGCTGGCAGAGCTGGCAGGGAGGTTGTGTCTGTGTCTCAGGGCTTTCCCATGTTTCCAGATGGATTTTCTTGGAAAGTTTCCTTTTCCTTGAAGTCTCTCAGGGCTTACACCACTCCATAATCACCTTGTTGCCATAAATGAGAGATGTGGCAAATGAGAGGTGTTTAAAAAACTTTTATTCCATTTTCACTCTCATGAGAAGGGTGAGGCAATACAGATGTTATAATTCACACCATCGCAATCAGAAACTAATTATATCCTAATTACAATACACTATAAGCATTTCTTGGCTTATCAGCTTTTTGCCACACCGTGCTGTAAATGCCTTAAAGCCAATCATCTAAAACTACCTCTCATGGGTCCCACCACAATGCATCTTTCATAGTTTTATTTCTCTAAACTATCCAGTCTTATTTGTGAGGCCATCCTTTGAAACTTGTTTCTAGCTCCATTTCTCTCCCAACAATATCTGTCATATTCCATGGCATTTCCAAGTCAGCATTTCTTATCTCAAGGTTTGCATACAGATGCACACTGTGTGGGCCTTCTGGCAGGCTTTGAGAATTCTCTACAAATCCATTTCCCACATTAAACCCACACTTCCCATGCTTGCTGGGAATTCTGAGCACTCCCAGAGGGAGGAGAGGCTGGGTCAAGCAGGTTGGGATTGTCCTGGGCAGCCCCACATGGGGAGGCTGGGTTTGTGTCACCCTCAGGGCTTTTTTCCCAGGAGTAAAGGCTGAGTTTTGTCACTTTTCTGCTTTTCTCACCTATTTTCTCCTTCGCCACTACAGGCACAAGCCATGATCCTGCTGGGGATCAATCCCAGGCTCATTTGCAGCCCAAATTCCCCTAACTTAGCCATGGGTGGGCTGGGACAGTCCACCCCCTGTTGTATCTCCCTTTGCTTAACCACAAGGACAGAAATCCTGCCAGGAGCTGTTCCTAGGACCACACAATTCCCTGCCCACAGTGTCTGAAGAGCTGGGACGCCAATCCTGCCTTTATTTTCCCCACAGATCTGCATCCAGCAAGGCTGGAAGGCTCCGTACGGGCGCTTCGATATCCTGCCCCTGCTCCTCCAAGCCAACGGCAACGACCCCGAGCTCTTCGAAATCCCACCAGAGCTCGTGCTGGAAGTGCCCATCCGGCACCCCAAGTGAGTCAGGAGCAGCCCCAAAACTGCTCCAGGGGATCATCATCTCCTCTGGTCCCACCCTTGCCATGGCCTGGGGCCTTCACTGAAGGCCCTCTCCCAGATCTTCCCTCCAGTGAAGTTGGCAGGGAAGTTGTGTCCATGTCTCAGTGCTGTTCCTTGTATCCAGACTGATTTCCTTGGAAAATTTCCTTTTCCTTGAAGCCTGCCAGGGCTTACACCCCTCCATAATCACCTTGTCCCCATGAACAGCCCCAAAGGGAGGTACTGATGGAAATGTTCTTCTCAAGTCTGTGACGGTGTTCACAGCGGTCTCAGGTCGATGGAATAGATGAAGATCTGAATCTATGTTTCAGAAAGCTTGATTTATTACTTTATAATATATATTACATTTAAACTATACTAAAAGAATAGAAGAAAACGTTTCATCAGAAGGCTGGCTAAGCTAAGAATAGAAAGGAAGGAATGATAACAAAGGTTTGTGTCTCGGCTCTCTGTCCAAGCCAGCCCCCTGTGATTGGCCATTAATTACAAACAACCAACATGGGCCAATCATAGATCCACCTGTTGCATTCCACAGCAGCAGATAATCAATAATAATCATTTTGTTCCTGAGGCCTCTCAGCTTCTCAGGAAGAAAAACTCCTAAGGAAAGGATTTTTCATGAAAAGGTGTCTGTGACACAAGTCCTTCACCCTTGTGGCAAAGTGACTTCCCCCATCCCCCTGCCTGCACTGGGAAGGGAATTCCTGGCTGGCTGCCTAATCCTGACCTTTCTCCTGGCAGGTTTGAGTGGTTTAAGGACCTGGGCCTGAAGTGGTATGGGCTGCCAGCCGTTTCCAACATGCTCCTGGAGATCGGGGGCTTGGAGTTCTCTGCCTGCCCCTTCAGCGGCTGGTACATGGGCACGGAGATCGGCGTCCGCGACTACTGCGACAACTCCCGCTACAACATCCTGGAGGTACCTCCTGCTGCTGCTCCTGGCGGGCCTCTGGGGGCACTGGGGAGCAGGCAGGACACTGGGAGAGCACAGGATGTCCCTTCTGGGTCCAGCTCTCCGCCCCTCAGTGTAGGAAGGACGTTGAGATGCTGGAACATGTCCAGAGGAGGCAATGAGGCTGGAGATGGGCTGGGAACACAAACCCTGTGAGGAACTACTGAGGGAGCTGGGGCTGCTCAGCCTGGAGAAAAGGAGACTCAGAGGTGACCTCATCACTCTCTACAGCTCCTGAAAGGTGGTTGTAGTCAGGTGGGGTTGGGCTCTTTCTCCAGGAACTGACAGAACCAGAGGACATAATCTCAAACTGCATCAAGTGAAATATAGGTTCGATAACAGGAAAAAGTTTTTCACAGAAAGGGTGATAAAGTTCTGGAATGGCCTGCCCAGGGTGGTGGTGCAGTCACCATCCCTGGGTGTGTTTAACAAAGCCTGGATGGGGCACTGGGTGCCAGGGTTGAGTTGGGGTGTTGGGGGTGGGTTGGACTCAATGATCTCAAAGGTCTCTTCCAACCTGGTCATTCTGTGAATCTGTGAATTCTCCTGGAGCCACATGGCTGAGGTTGGCCAGGTCTCTGTGTCCTGTGAGGCCAGAAGGTGTCTGACACAGCCAGTGTGATCCCTGCAGAGCTTTCCACAGGCTTCCCAAAGAATCTTAGGGATCAGCAGGCACCTGGTTGTGTGCTCAGGTGAGGCCAAGTGTTGAAACATTAAAGGGTGCAGAAACCCTTGGTGGCTCCTCAGGGACATGTGAGCCCTTGGGGACTCTCCAGCCGGTCCCATGGCTCAGGGAATGCCCACACTGGGAGAGACAAAGCCAAGCCATGGGAAGGTGGCCGTGCAGGTGGTATGGATCCATCAAAACCTCCCAGGGAATGTTGTGCTATTAGAGGGGCTCCATCCCTCCCCAGTCTCCTGAAAACCAGAGGGGTGGGAGCAGTGTGAGTGTCCAGCTGGTCCTGGTGGCCTCCTCAGCAGCATTTGGCCACCTGATTCTGCTCAGGGAGGAGGAAAGGCCGTGCTCCTGCCATGGAGAGGAAAAGACAGGATTTCTTCCAAGAGGAAGGCACAACATCAGCCCTTCCCTCCCCTGTGGGTGCCTTGTGCCAGCCTCGGTTCCTCTCCCCAAGCAGAGCTCTCCAGTCCTTGTTTCTTGGCCATTAAATCCTTCCCTTCCTGCCGTGTGTTGTTACAGCAAGTGGCCAAGAAAATGAACCTGGATATGAGGAAAACATCCTCGCTGTGGAAGGACCAGGCCCTGGTGGAGATCAACATCGCTGTGCTCTACAGCTTCCAGGTACCCCACCCAGACCCTGCTGAGCCTGAGCCAGCTGGAGGGACACAGGGACTGGGTGGGACAAGAGTGGAGACATCCACCCAAGGACAATGGCTGGAACTGGGCTGTGCCTCCCAAATTTGGGCTGCTGCAGTGAGATTTAATAATCTCCACACTCTGGATGTTGTAAAACAACACCACCAGCACCTGAGTCCTGCTGGTCCAGAAGGAATATCCCAGCAGGGGGAAAATCCAGCCCTTCTGACCTATCCAAGTGGCAGGAACTGGCTCTTCCCCAGCCACAAAACCAGTCCTTGGCGAGCCAGCTTCAAAGGGGGAGAGTACTTCCCAGAGCTGGGCTGGAGCTGCCCTGCTGGAAGAGCTTCCCAAGGTTCTGAGCAGAGGATGCTCCATCCCATCCATTCCCATCCATCCCATCCATCCCATCCATCCTATCTATCCCATCCATCCCATCCATCCTATCTTTCCCATCCATTCCCATCCATCCCATCCATCATCCATCATCCATCCATCCATCCATCCATCCATCCATCCATCCATCCATCCATCCATCATTCCATCCACCCATCCATCCATCCATCCATCCATCCATCCATCCATCCATCCATCCATCCATCCATCCATCCCATCCCATCCCATCCCATCCCATCCCATCCCATCCCATCCCATCCCATCTTTGCTTGGCCCAGGACAATTAGCAGGGGGAACAGGGCTCCCATATCACATCTATTCTCAAATCACTTTAGAGCCCCCTTGGGAAGACCAAGATCAGCAGCCACCTTGGATCATCCCCAAAGACCATGGGAGTAAGGAGTATTTGTGACAAACAGCTCCAAATGTAAAATTTTGGCTTTTTCCCTCTGGGATGTGTTGACAGCTGCTGTCTCTGCTCTCTTGTCCCCCTGCAGAGTGACAAGGTGACCATCGTGGATCACCACTCGGCCACTGAGTCCTTCATCAAGCACATGGAGAACGAGTACCGCTGCCGGGGGGGCTGTCCCGCCGACTGGGTGTGGATCGTGCCGCCCATGTCGGGCAGCATCACCCCCGTCTTCCACCAGGAGATGCTCAACTACCGCCTGACGCCCTCCTTTGAGTACCAGGTGCTGTCCCCACCCTCCACCGTGCCTCTGGCCAAGGGCGGGGCAGGAGAGGGAGCTCAGGAGGTGCAGGAAGGGCAGGGACACCATCCAATTCCTGCACAATGGATGTTTCACCCCAGCATAGTGTAATGATGGGGGTTTGCCCCTCTGTGGGGATGTGGGACACCTGAGCTCCCAGTTTTTAATCACACTTTGGAAGTGCCTAATGGGTGGGTGAGGAAATGGCTGGAAGGCTCCTGCATCCCATTCCAGCCTGCAGGTTTGAGAGGATGGCTTCTGGATCCCATATCCCAAATCCCATATCCCATATCCTATATCCCATTCTAGCCTGCAGGTTTGAGAGGATGACTCCTGTATCCCAAATCCTCTCCAGCCTGCAGGTTTGAGTGGATGGCTCCTGCATCCTATATCCCATTCCAGCCTGCAGGTTTGAGTGGATATAGCTCTTGGATCCCATATCCCATATCCCAAATTCCATATCTCATAACCCATATCCCATATCCCAAATCCCATATCCCATCCCAGCCTGCAGGTTTGAGAGGATATAGCTCTTGGATCCCATATCCCACATCCCATATCTCAAACCCCAAATCCCATATCCCATAAACCATATCCCATATCCCAAATCCCAAATCCCATATCCCATTCCAGCCTGCAGGTTTGAGAGGCTGGCTCCTGTATCCCATATCCCATATCCCATATCCTATATCCCATATCCCATATCCCATATCCTTTATCCCATATCCCATATCACATACCCCATCCCAGCCTGCAGGTTTGAGAGGATGGCTCCTGTACCCCAAATCCTATATCCCATACTCCTTATCCCATTCCAGCCTGCAGGTTTGAGGGAATGCTCCTGCACCCAGAGGATCCAGCAGTGGGCCAGGGGCTGCAGCCCAGCATGGGCTCAAACGCTGCTGCTGGGCTGTTGAACCCTGCAGACCATGAGGAAAATCCCCTCAGCAGACACTCCCTCGTTATCCAGCCTTCCCTGCTCCGGTGCTTTCCACACAAAGTGACCTTTAGTCAAGAGCCCTTAAGGAATAATCGCAGAGCAGGAGCAGTCTGTTCACTCCTTCCCAGCCCACCAGGCCCCCCGATGTTCCTGGCTCTGCCTGCAGCCTGCAAGGGCACGGAATGAGCTTCTGTGTGCCTGCTCTGCCTTCAGCTGCCTCCCCTTCCCAAAGGGCCTCTTAGGGAAAAAACCTGTGGCCAGAGCAGGGGAAAGGATCTGTTTCCATCACCTCTCCCCTTCTGGCGCTGTCTCCTTTTTGGCTGTGGCCTATTAACGCTGCTCTCAAGAGGTGACAGAGCAATTGGCCAGATGCTGCTACAAGCCAGGAGGGTTTATTAGATTGCAATTTTCCTGGGCATGTTCCATACCCTAAACAAACCCCCACAAGGCTCCAAGAATCAGGGACACAGAGAGGAGAGGCAGAGCTGTGCAGTAGCAGCCATTCCTCCCCTTCCTCACTGGAAGAATTTAACTCTCAGTGCTGTGTGTGCTGCATTTCTCCAAGCTCTGAGCACTCCCCACCCTCTCTGATCCTGCTTTTCCCTCTCCTAGCCGGACCCCTGGAACACCCACGTCTGGAAAGGGGTCAATGGGACACCCACCAAGAAGAGGGCCATTGGCTTTAAGAAGCTGGCAAAGTGAGTACCAGCAGGCTCTGGAAAGGCCTGGAATATTTGGGGCTGGTCCTGGGTTTAAGCACCTATGGGTGTGTGCATCACCCTACAGATGATGGGCTCTGATCTGGGCTTTGGGCCACTAAAGGCTTTACCTGCCCTGAGGGACATTTGGGGACACAGGCACCCCTCAGACCACCAAAAGGGGTGTGACCAGGTAAATCCCAGATCTTGGGTACTGTTTGTTCTCTAGAGCTGTTCATTCTCTGGTTAGGAGGTTTTGATGCTCAGATATGGCTTTCCCACTTTTGGAGAGTGTTTTGCCTGTTTTTTCCTTTCCTTGGGGCAGGAAGATCCCCCCTCCCTCTTCAGGGCTGTGCTGGCATTGAGGACATCAAACTCCTGTCCATATTCCTCCTTTTTCCTGCATGAGGAGAACCTGCCCCCAGTGTGTGCCCAACCCTCCAAACACCTGCTTTGGAAGGAAGGGGGGAGATGAGAATGAGGATCTCCTTGCAGGCAGCAGATGGATCAGGGCTGAGCTGAGATTTGCACTTCATGGTCAGTTGACCCCTGGCAAGGGGCCACCCCAGTCCCTCCTCCCTGCCAAGGCTCCTCAGCAGCAGCAGGGATGCAGGAATGAAGCACAATTTGGCTGATTCTGGCCCAAATTCCTCCCCTGGGGGCCATTGGCAGGCAGGAGCAGGGCTGGGTGTGCCCTGGGGATGGTGGCCAGGCTGCCAGGTGGCCCTGGCTCGTCACAGCATCTCCCCACGCTTCAGTTTCCCCAAATCCCTGCCATCAATTTGCTCCCACTCTTCAGCTGTCACCTCCTGCGAGCTGCTCTCCGTGGTGCATCCATAAACAGGAGCAGCAGCTGAGGAATGTGACACTGGGGCCGGGGGAAGAGCAGGAGGATTCATGGAGTTTGCAGGAAAAAATGCTTTTATTGCTCCCCTCTGCCCCATTGAGGGATGGTTTTATGAAAATGTGAGCGTGGCAGGTCATTTAAAACAAAATGTCCATTGTTCCTGGTATAGGGAAAGGAATTGTTTTTGTAATTCACCATTAATCCTGTCTGGATCTGAGCTTATCAGCTGAAGAAGAGGCAGAGCCTTGAGCATGATTTGGTGCCTGCTCAGACTCAAAAATCTGCCTAAATCTGTCCAAATCTGAGGCTTCAGACATGCAGTCCCTGCCCTGGGGACAAGGGACAGTGCCACCACAGGAGGACAAAGGGACAGAGCTGCACTGAGGGTGGTAATGCAGCAGCAATCAGAAATGTTCCTGGGGCTGACCCTGCCAGGGGCAGGCAGGATAAACCAGCCTGCAGGAGTTTCTACCTCTTCCTTCCTCTTTTTCTTCCCTAAATGATTCCCCAAACCCAGAGTATTCCTGGGCAGGAAGGGCAGAGGGAAGCTGGGTATGAGTATGATGTGGTGCAGTGTGACCACTCCAGTGTCGCAGACATCTTTTTATGAAAAATCTTTTCTGTAAGAATTTTCCTCCTGAGAAGCTGAGAGGCCTCAGGAACAAAATGTAAACAATTATTATCTGCTGCTGTGGAATGCAACAGGTGCATCTGTGATTGGTCTCATGTGGTTGTTTCTAATTAATGGCCAATCACAGCCCAGCTGGCTCAGGCTCTTTGTCCAAGCCACAGACTTGTTATCATTCTTTTCTATTCTTAGCTTAGCTAGCCTTCTGATGAAACTTTTTTTTTCTATTCTTTTAGTATAGCTTCAATGTAATATATATCATAAAATAATAAATCAAGTTTTCTGAAACATAGAGTCAGATCTTAGTCTCTTCCCTCAACATAAAACCCCTGTGAACACTGTCACATTCCAGCTGCAGCCTCTGCTCCCCACAGCTCCTCTGGAGGGGCTGCAGGAGCCCTGCTGAACTCAAAAACCTGGGGCAAGGGCTGTCAGAGTGAATCAGGCAGCCCTTCCTCCTGCAGAGGCCACAGAGAGGCTTTGTGCTCCCTCAGCCTCCCAAAAATCACCTTTCCCTGTTGCAACAGCAGCCTCAATCCAGACCTGATGGATTTCTGCCCTTCTGGTGGCCCCATTTAAAGGCTTGGTGGTCCACTTAGAAAAAAAAAATTTGGCATGTAGGAAAACCGGTGTTGATGTGATATAAATGTCCTTAAGATGACAAACCCACAACCCCTGTCCCCATCACGGTGCTCCCAGTGATGCCACAGACAAGGAATCAGCATTCCTGGTGCTGCATCACCTGGGCCACGGTTGGAAAGAGGCTGGGGACCCCCAGTGCCCCTCTGTGTGCCCCAAGCCAGGGGGAAATCTGGAGGAAAAGCCCCCAGGCATGGCTGGGGCACAGGAAAGAGCCAGCTGGGCACAAGGCTGGGGTAAATGTGCCACCACTCCCCAGCCTGCTCCTCCCAGGGGAGGGCTGGGTGTCACCAGGGTGCAAATCACAGGCACTGGGACAGCTGGGTGTGACCTCAGTGTCCCCAGGCTCTGTGGGGAGCAGGGCTGGGTTGGATTTAAGGGATGGAGGAGCTGCTGTTCCTCCTGTAGCTCCAGCTCTGCAGGTTCCTTTTCCTTTTCCTCTTTCCCTTTTCCCTTTTCCCTTTTCCCTTTTCCCTTTCCCTTTCCCTTTCCCTTTCCTTTCCTTTCCTTTCCTTTCCTTTCCTTTCCTTTCCTTTCCTTCTGATTCTGTGCCCCCCATACCTGGTTTAGCATTTTCCTCCTTCACCCCATCCAGGTGTTTGAGCTCTGTCCAAACTTCCCCATCTCCTTTTCCTCTCTGACAACTCAAGCTCTTCCAGGCTTCCCTGTTTGCCATGTGAGAACCAAAAATTTGATGCTGCAGCTTTGTAAGGCTGTTCCTTTAATAGGAAATTAAAAGGTCTGGGCTAGAGGCATGGGTCAGGTCCAAGCTCTGACTGGGATTTATTCCTGCTTCCCAGGGCTGTGAAGTTCTCAGCCAAGCTGATGGGCCAAGCCATGGCCAAGAGGGTCAAGGCCACCATCCTGTATGCCACGGAGACGGGGAAGTCCCAGGTCTATGCAAAAACCCTGTGTGAGATCTTCAAACACGCCTTTGATGCCAAGGTATTGCTCCTGACACGTGCTGGGTGTGAGATCATGGTGTGGAAAGAGCTGCCGAGGGCCTTCAGGTGTGCCTCTGTGGGTCTGGGGTGGAGGAAAATCCCTGATTTCCTGCACTGATTGCAGCTGTGGCCCCTCTGGAGGCAGCCCCAGGGCTGGCCCTGTCCCTCCACTCCTGTTCCCATGCAGAGATCCCAGCAGGGATGTGCTGTCCCCATCCCCAGCCTGCCCAGGAGGCTCCCAGCTCTCTGTGCCCTCTCTGTGCCCCCAGGTGATGGCCATGGATGAGTATGATGTGGTGCACCTGGAGCACGAGACCATGGTCCTGGTGGTCACCAGCACCTTCGGCAACGGGGACCCGCCTGAGAACGGAGAGGTAGGACAGCAGGGACAGCAGGGGTGTCTTGGTTTGGACAGACAGGAGTCTGCTGAGGAAGGCAGGAGCCTCCCCTGAAATGGAGAATGTAAACCCTCTCCACCCCTCTGAATTGCTATAAATTTTAAATTAAGGGACTCTTAGGCAAAAAATATGGGAGCAGGAATAACAGTTCTTTAATAGGGGAAAGAAAAAAAAAGGATAAAATAAACAATGCAGTACACTAGAACAACACTGACAGAGTCAGAACCCAACCTGACACCCTGTGGGTCAGGGTGTTGGTGGCAGTCCCATTGGAATTGTGGCTCAGCCCTCCTGCAGTGTCAGGGGTGGTTCTGCTGGAGCAGGGATCCTGGAGAGAAGGATGGATTCTTCCTCTGAAGATCCAGTGGAAGGAGAGGCAGCTGCTGTTCCTCTGGAGAATCCAGTGGAGAAGCCGTGCTGGTGTCTCAAAACCTCTGGATTATATCTGGGTAGGAATGCTTGGCTCCTCCCTCTGGGCTTACATCTCCCAATGGGATGCTGTAGTTCTTATCAGCCATGCAGGGACATTCAATAGCTGTTATCAGCAATGTCTCTTCCTGAGGGAGGTGTGAATGTGGCCACTCAGAGAGAGAGATAAGGCAAACTGCCCACTTGACAAAAGTAATCTGCCATACAGATGGTAATGGAAAACATCTTGCATTGCAATCTTCAACAAGGGGACAGCAGGGGACAGGGCCAGGAATGTCCTAGTTTGGCTCAGACTGAGCTGAAAGGACCCCAAACGGGTCCAGGTGCTGCAGCTGCCTCCAGGCCACTCTGGAGCAGGGACATCTCCTGGTTCCCTGCCATGACACAGCCACTGATCTGATGTTAAATTCATCCTGTGTGACCACAGGACAGTGTCACACAGAAGGTGACAGTGCCCTGGCTGGAGGGCTGTGACCTGGACAGCTGGGAACAGCAAACAGGGAGCAGAGCCACAGCCCAGGATGTGCTCAGGGCTTGGTTTCCTGCAAAATCTGGCAAAAGTGATGGGCTTTTTTTGTTCCTTTCTCTACAGAAATTTGGCTGTGCATTAATGGAGATGAAGAATCCCAACTCCAACCTGGAGGAGAGGAAGTAAGAGCACTCCAACTCCTTCCCCTTTCACTCCAATGCCTTCCCCTCCCAGTCCAACCCTTCCCCTCCCAGTCCAAACGCCAGCATGCAGGACAGGTTCCCTGGCTCCATCCTCTCGCAGGGAAACCCTCGGGCAGATCCCACATTTGCAAATATCCAGGAATAGGACCTGCCTGGACACCCAGGGAATGGAGAGACTGGAGGTCCCAGGGAGGACAAAAACACAGATTATGGGTTGCCTGTGAATCCTAGCTTGTAACTCCCTGGGGTGACACTTCAAAGCTTCTCTCTTCATCTTGAAGAGGCAGAAATCTGTGAAAAAAACAGATAAAAATAGGAATTTCCCCAAAATCATCGATTCTGAGAGCCAGAGCCTGTCCAGGAGGCACCAAAATAGTAAGAGTTGGAGGTAGAAGGGAGTTCCCAGGCTTGCAGATGTAGGTGGGGGAGGGCTGGAGAACCAGATTTAGCTCCATGCATGGTGTGAAAAGATTTCTAGGGAAAATAAGAGCTGTGATAATCCTGTGATGTTTGTAACGGGTACCTAGGAGACAGAACGTGGGATTGTAGAAAATCCCCCTTCAGGGGAGGATGAGCTTTGTGCAGATCCCAGGGGGGGAAAGGAAGGGAGGGCTCTGACAATGATCATTTGGGGTCTCCTCTAATTTTAGCTGCAAAGAATAAAATATTTCCCTGAACTGGGTCACTGCTGTGCCCTGGTATATCTCCTGAGCTGACAACTGGCACAGGGCTGCTCTTTAATTCAGGAGGGATCCAGGGCAATTCCAGCACCCTGGCTCGGGGCAGTGTCACCAGGATGGTGACAAACACACAGGGACCAGTCTGCCCTGGGATGGCCCTGACTCCAGGATGGTGACAAACACACAGGGACCAGTCTGTGCTGTGATGGCCCTGACCCCAGGATGGTGACAAACACAAAGGGACCAGTCTGTGCTGTGATGGCCCTGACTCCAGGATGGTGGCAAACACAGGGACCAGTCTGTGGCTCTCCCTGCTGATGGATCCCTGCTGAAAACCCAGCAGGCTCCTCATGGCCTCGTGCCTCAATGGGGACAGTGACAGAACAGGCTGCCCTGGAGGGCTGAGGATGGGGAAGGGACGTTCCACATATGGTGTTCACACCAAGGATCTTCTCCTTGGGTGCAGAGGTGCTGCCCATGGCTGGTCAGGCAGATTTGAGAAGGTTAAAAGCCCCTGAGCTCGGTGCTTGCTGTCCCAGACACGTCCAAGTGTGATTTAAGGGCTGGTGGGAGTTTCTAAGGGCCAGGCAGAAACACCCTGCACTGTCCCAGCTGCTCCAAGGCCTGCTCAGCCTGGCTGTGGACACTTCCAGGGATCCAGGGATCCACAGCTTCTCTTTTTGGCATTGCCCCAGCCAATATCCAGGACCTTGCTAACATCAAGCACACAAAAAACCTTTTGCGATGAGAAAAGGAGACCTGGAGGAGGCAGTGGGAGGAAGAGGGACAGTGTCAGACACATTACAGACACCTGGAGAGAGCAGCCCATGGAGTGCCAGCTTCCCAGGGAATACTGAGACCCTCAGGGCAGGGTGGCTCTCAGTGTGACAGCATCACAGGAGCCTGTCAGGGCTCCCTGCCCACAGCCCTGAGGCTGTGCTGGGCTTGATATTTGGCTCCTCATGTCTTACAGCAAGGGTTTCCCAAGGGTTTTCCAAGGGTTTTCTAAAGCATTCTTATTCCAAGCCTGATGTTGAAGTGCAGCCCATCCATCCCACACCACAGGGACCTCCTCATTCCAGCTGCTGTCCCAGCCTTGGGCCAGCACCCACCTGGGCAATTTGGGCTTTGTGTCCCTCTAATCCAGAGGGTCCTGCTGCCTTGAATAGAGCCTGGATTGCAGAAAATCCCCCACACTGCAACATGAGCTTGGAGCATCTCGTAGGCTGGGGAGGGAGGCCCCCTAACCCGGGATAACCCAGGGGAAGGGCCGTGGCCAGGGCCAGCTGAGTGGAGGAGCAGAAAGGCATGGAGGTCTGGGGAGAGGGGGGAGGCTGAGGGGCAGAGGTGGCCCTGGGGCTCTGTGACCCAGCTGTCCCTGGCAGAGGTGGCACTGGGGCCCTGTGACCCAGCTGGCTCAGGCTGCGCTCTCCCATGCCATGCCATGCCATGCTCTCCCGTGCCATGCCGTGCCGTGCCGGCTGCAGGAGCTGTGCCGTGACTCATGCACACAGCACTGCTCACTGCTCACTGCTCTGCCTGTAAATTTAGAAACTCTTGTGCGGAGCAATTTTGGGAGATGGCTCAATTCAGAAATACTTCTGCTGTTGTCAGATTTTATGGTTTTTTTCCTCAGCTCCCCTTCCCCCTCCTCACCCCTTCTTCTCTCACTCTGTTTTTTGGGATTTTTTTTAATTTCCCACTTCCTATGAATGAAAGAACCCTCAGAATATCTCTTCAGACATACGCCCGACCTTGTGTGCTGCCAGGGAAGGGCAGGTAGAGCCCAAGGTCCTGGCAGCTCTGTGTCGCTGTGGGAGGTGACCAGGACCTCATGGAGCATCCCTGCTCCAGCTGAGGATGCACAGGGGTTGCTATGGCCTTATCCCCGGAGGGAGCACATTCCTCTGCTCTTCCCACACTGCGTGCTGGTGGGGTTGTGAGCCCTCAGCTGTGCTTTGGAGCCCCCCTGTGAGCCCCAAAGCCAGGGGGTGCCCCCAGTGTGAGCCTGGCTGCTGTTGTTGTCCACAGGAGCTACAAGGTCCGGTTCAACAGCGTCTCCTCCTACTCGGACGCACGGAAATCCTCCAGCGATGGCCCTGACCCCAGGGACAACTTCGAGAGCACGGGGCCCCTGGCAAACGTCAGGTAAAGGGACAGGGCAGGAGCTGGTGCTGCACAGACCCCACCTCACCCTGAGGTGTTTGGGTGATGTGCAGACCCCTCCAGGCTGCTGTGCGTGGTGGTGGGACAGGAGGGACCAGCTGCGCTCTGGCATATCTAAAAGATCCTTTTTCCTGTCATGTTTCTATGAGACCTGGCTCTGAACTGAAATAATTCAGATCAATAGCTGCGATTTTTAAAGCTTAATAGCTATATCTGGATGAAGCTTTTGAACTTGACCTGTCATTTGCTGACTTGCTACCCAGACATGTGGTCTCCAGTGCAGCACAAACTGCAAATTTTCACCAAAGCCACACATCAAATGAATTCTCAGAATAAATTGTTCATACAGCAAGTGAAAACAGCTGCATTGTGGTGAGTCACCCCACTGCACACTGGGGTTAAAAACAGCTCATCACCTCATGTGTGCGAGAGAGTTGTGAGCCCTACAATTTAGAGACCACATTAATAAACTCTGGTGTCTTCTGGTGGGATTACCTTCCCCCTCAGGGTCCCTCCCAGCTGAGCAGCCACAGCTGAACCATCTTTGCACAGGTTCTCCGTGTTTGGGCTGGGCTCCAGGGCTTACCCCCACTTCTGCGCCTTCGCCCGCGCCGTGGACACGCTGCTGGAGGAGCTGGGGGGAGAGAGGATCCTCCGCATGGGAGAGGGGGATGAGCTCTGTGGCCAGGAGGAATCCTTCAGGACCTGGGCCAAGAAGGTCTTCAAGGTAACCTTGAGGGGCTGCAGGGAGGAGCAGGGGGGAGAAGGACAGAACTTGGAGCTGGATCTGAACCCAGCCTCCCCTTCCTGGGACCGGGACACTCCAGCACCGCCCCAGCCCACAGCAAAGAGAGTGGAGCTGATGCTCTACTTTGTGCTGACCACCCAAAGGTCACCAATGTGTTGAATCCCCGCATCATCCCAGATAGGTGGGAGGGAGAGCAGCATGAGCAATGTCCATGGCCACTGGTCCAGCCCCATGCTGCTGGGGGCTCCTTGTCTGTGTGGGCTGGGCTGAGGGGCTCGGCTGGGCTGGGCTGGGCTGGGCTGGGCTGGGCTGAGGTGGTGCCTGAGGGCCTGGTGGGTGTTGCAGGCAGCGTGTGACGTGTTCTGCGTGGGGGACGACGTGAACATCGAGAAAGCCAACAACTCCCTGATCAGCAACGACCGCAGCTGGAAGAGGAGCAAGTTCCGCCTGACCTACGTGGCTGAGGCCCCGGAGCTCACACAAGGTACAGGCCAGGAGGGCTCTGTCTGTGGGGAACATGGGCAACACACAGGGGTAGAGGGGCCAAACCCCTTTTTTGTCTCTGTTAAATCCCCAGCGTTTCAACCCTGCCTTTCCCTTCATCTCATCCCCAAGGAGCAGCCCCAGGCCCCTCAGGCCGTTTCAGTCCTGCCTTTCCCCCCATCCCATGGCCAAGGAGCAGCCCCAGGCCCCTCAGGCTGGTCCTGTCTGTGTCTGCAACAGAGATGTTTGGACTTGATCTACTCTCCCTCATCCTGACCCTGTTTCTTTGTCTCTCTTAAATTCCCAGTGTTTTAACCCCAAGGAGCACCCCCAGGCCCCTAGGCCGGTCCTGTGTGTGTTTGTAACAGAGATATTTGGACCTGATCTACTCTCCCTCATCCTGACCCCATTTTTTGTCTCTATTAAATCCCCAGCGTTTCAGCCCTGCCTCTCCCCTCCATCCCATGCCCAAGGAACAGCCCCAGGCCCCTCAGGCCGGTCCTGTCTGTGTAACAGAGATGTTTGGACCTGATCTGCTCTGATGTTGCAGTGTGTTTTTATTTTGCAGGTTATTCTTTGATTTGTTGTTTGGTAGTTTTTTGGGCTTAACTGTTAAATCCCCAGCGTTTCAGCCCTGCCTCTCCCCCCCATCCCATCCCCAAGGAGCAGCCCCAGGCCCTCAGCCGGTCCTGTCTGTGTCTGTAACAGAGATGTTTGGGCCTTATCTGCTCTCCCTCCTCCTGACCCCATTTTTTGAAGCAAGGAGCTGGAAAATTGGGATCTTTCCAGGCTTATTTTGTCCAATGCTGCTCCATGGAGTGTTGTGGAGCAAAGGCAGGTCAGCCCATGGACACCTGGCCCCTCAGCACGGTTCCTGCAGCTCCTGCAGCACCAGCTCAGCTCTGCCCAAACCCAGGTGCTCTCCTGCCAGGCAGGCAGCAAGAGGAGCTGTGGGCAGTGTGAGGGCACTGCCCTGAGTGTCACAGGACTGGTTTTGGAATCCTCTATCACCAAAAAAACGTGCTTGGGTTACCCCTGGGCTTCCTGATCCCTTGCGCTCACAGGAGGGAGGTCAAACCCCTGTAGTGAGCTCTGGTCTGAGGGGCTGAACCCACAATGGTCCTACAGAAGCCTTGGCCATGCTCTGCTGAATCCCTCCCCTGACTCTTTTCCTCCTCAGGACTGTACAGCATCCACAAAAAACGTGTCTATGCAGCCCGGCTCCTCACACGGCAGAACCTGCAGAGCCCCAAGTCCAGGTAGGAGGTGCAGCTGTCCTGGGAGCTGAACACACACCTGGGGCACCCAGAACAGTGCTACAAACAGCCCTTGAGCCCTGGATGTCTGTGGAATCCACCTTTGTGCAGGCCATGAGTCAGCCTGGAAGGCAGAGGGGATGTTCCTGCCCTCCATGCGTGGTGGAATTCCTGCTGGTCCCTCCCTCAGCCCATGGGATGGGGAACTGGCTGGAGGGGTGTGGGAAACCAGGACATCCCTCTGGCTGTCCAGGATGGCCAGGACCCCTACCAGGGGTCTCAGGGATCCTGGCACAGAGCCCAAAACACCTGTGGGTTTGATTATGACCCATGGAGCAAATTACCAACCTTAGATGAAGATCAGCAAGGCACAACAGTTTAGGTAGAATAATAGTGAAGTTATCACGGGGTGGAAAAGTAGATTTTGAGGTTTTGGTATGGGGGTTCAGGAGGCAAGATGGAGGGAACTGAGTGTGTCCAGCCTTTCTCCTTCTTCTTCTTGGCCTCCATCTCCTGCTGTGATGTTGGCACTCACAGATTGGTTTAGAGTAGAAGCTCACTGTCTAACATAGGTGATGAGTATTGGGAAGGAATTGTAAACATTGTCCACGTAGTTTTTAGTATAAAGACATAACGCTGCCCTGGGGCAGGCAGAGTGCCTGGAACTGTCCTGCTGGACAGACCTCAGCAGGGCAGGAGAAAATTTTTTATAGGTAAGAAACAATGAACAACCTTGAGACTGAGAAGTGAAGAGCCCTGACTGCTTCTTCAAGCGCTGGGCTGAGAAAAGAGACTTTGAAACTTTTCTTGGGGTCACTCTGACCAGCAAAAGATCCCAACAGAGGGGCAGCAAAGGAAGGATAAAATTGCTGAGCAAGAAGTTCAATTGGTTTTCCCCTTTTAAAAGGGTGAGTCAGGGCGTGCTGCAGTGTCCCTTCTCCCTGCTGTGACCTTGGTGACACGGCCACCACAGCTT